TCAGTGACCTTTTTTCACTTAACCACTTCCCTTGGTTTTTATGTTAACCTTTAGTTACCCAATTAATAAATGAACAGATTTTCTTGTAAAAATTTGAAAACATAATGACAGCTAAATTCCTTTTGAACAGTCCTAGTCCTATTGCTCCCTCTTCACTGTGAATCCTTTGCAGTGTCTCCTTCCAGACCTTTGTACATGTATGTATGTAGCAGAGTTAGCGTTGGAAATAAGGAAAATACACAGCTGGGACTTTTTTTTTTTAAACACAAATAATACACTGTAGGGATCATCTTATGACTTAATTATGTACTCAGCGCTGCCTTGGAGGTCTTCTTATGCCAGTTACGTACCTCCACCTTTTTTTTCGACTGCTGCCTAGCGTTCTGTATAATGTGTATACCCCAGTTTAGCCATTGCTCTATTTTTTTTAAATCACAAGTATTTGTGGAGTAACTAATTTTTGCAAAGCAGTGTTTGTTTCAAAGGTTTTTAAAACTCAATTTCATGATAGTGGATATCATGATTATTGGAGTGTCCACAGTAGCCACAAAGAAGAGGATTTGATGTTATTGAAGCAGAGAATTACAGTCCTGATCTTTACTCTTTAAAGAAAATCAATTCCTCAAAAACTTATAAAACAAAATTCATTTCAGTATCATAGTGGTTAACTGTGTCAAACTCATAGTGTCAAACTCAGTTATCAATAGGATTTTTTTAATTCCAGTTTTGGAACTTTTTAGACATTTTAAGGATTATAATGCCAACAGTTGTCTTCCCTGCCCCTCTGAGGTCCTCACTGAAAGGCATCTGTCAGAACTCCCATTGCATTTAATGAACCTGCTGTTCAGCACTGGCGTATACGTACTATCCTGTGCCCACCTGAGAGTAGAAGCCCCTCAATGGAAGGAAATGGGGGCTTTTTAAAAGATGCATTAAAGTTTATCTGACAAGTATAATCTTTTTGTGGTTTTTTTACTTCCCAGTTTTATTAGTTGAGCTTGATGCCTGCTCAGATATAAACCACTGTCCAGCCTATGTTTATGCTATAACACACAGCTTTGTATTTAAAATTCTGGTTATAAAATTCAGGTTCAAACACTCTGGTATTTCCAGTTCTTTTGGGGTTGTGCCTATCAGTCAATCAATGCTTATGTAATGCCTTTGAAGTGCTAGGTGCTGGGGTCACCACTTATACTTTTAGGATTTCAGTTTTTTCTTCAAAACTTACACTTTTAGATTATCTTATTTAACTGATCATTGCAATATATTTGTGTAAAATAATTTCTAGAGAAACAAGAAAAACTCTTTGTTTTATACTTACCGCTTGATTTCCAGCAGGTGGCACCAAATACCCTTTGGAGTTCATGATACAATTCTTTAGTCGGTGTTGCTGACTTAATCATTTCTTCCCCCACTGTCAGGGGACAGAAAGGGTTCCATTCTTTGGTCTAAGTCTCTGATT